TGTCACTGTCCTGGGGATCTGTGACTGTCACTGTCCTGGGGATCATGGATATGTCACTGTCCTGAGGGTCATGGATCTGTCACTGTCCTGGGGGTCATGGATCTGTACCTGTCCTGGGGATCTGGGGCTGTGACTGTCACTGTCCTGAGCCCAGTCCTGGCAGCTCACACAGGGCCGACCCCACCGAGGGACAGCCCAGTGCCAGGCTCTGCTGCCCCTCGGAATTGAACATTTTGGCCGTCAGTGACCCCGTGACCCGCCCCCCTCCAGCAGCCCCTCCCCAGCAGGGCGGTTCCAGCCGGGGGCAGCGGATAACGAGCGTAATTAGCGGGTAAATCCTCGTTCCGGGGATTATCAAATATAGACTCTAATCGTCCCGGAGCTGCAGCCCTGGGGTGCCAGATGGGCCTCACTGCCCCGCCGTGCTCCCTCCCTGCTCTCCATGGGTTCGGGAGTGCTGGGGGCAGGTGGGGCCGGGGCAGAGGGGCCTCTGGTCACTGAGGTCGTGTTGGGCTGTGCTGTTCCCAGGGCTTGGAGCAGGGGGGCAGCTCCAGGGGCACGTCGGGGGCTGCAGGACACTGGGGGTCCTGTCCCTTGGCTGTGACGCCGTGTTGGGATGTCCTTGTTCTTGGAGCAGTGTCTCCAGGCAGGAGCTGGGGGCCCAGGCTGTCCCTGGGAGGTGCTGGCCTCTGTCCTGGGCCAGTCTGGTTGGGGAGGACCCCAAAGGGATCCCAGAGGGACCCCAGAGGGACCCCAAAGTCTGTTTAAAGAGCAGGAAGAGGGTGTTTCCTGGCTAATTTCTGGGATGAAGTGGGTTGTGAGTGCTTCATCCCTGTGTGACCTGAGATGTGAGAGTGACAGGCTGATCCCTTCTCCCGCTGCAGGGCTGGGTGACACTGGGTCACAGATGCCACCTCTCAGGGATGTGGAGGTGGCAGGGCCATGGTGGGTCCTGGGTCACCCTGTGTGTGCCAGAGCAGGGCTGGGAATGGGGAGACTCCCAGGAATGCAGGGAAAGGCTGGTCCATGGCTCCTGCCTCGCTCAGGGCGTGTCAGGGTGGGCTCCCAGGCTCTGACACACTCTGGAATCACGGAATATTTAGGTTGGAAAAGCCCCCTGA